TTTTCGAAACGAGCGCTACTTTTTTGAATAAATATTGGCACCACTACTACCATGAATACCGCGCGGTATCCGGAATTCGTGTGAATAAAACATTATCATTATCTTTTGTTAACAAACTAGGCTTAAAATTATATTAGTTTGTCCTCTGTAAATTTTTAAATTTTTGCCATACGATGTACTGTGTAACAGAACTCTACCCGTGCCTTGGAAGATTGTATGTTACATCAACTTCCAACCACATATATATATGTATATAATGGCGAATTTGTATTAATATTGCAACAACCAAAATTATTCTTAAAAAATTTCTTCATTTATCCATTTATTAGCTTGATTAAATGAATTTCGGCGGCTCGATTCAAGTAATCAATTTTATAATTATGTGACTTCTAGAGAATTCATTCAATAAACGATAAACACAAATAACTTGGTAATTTATTTTATAATGTGTAGTTACCCGCTATTACACCAAAACCTACTATACAAAACTTTATAGGTAATGTTTCTTGTCTCTTTTTTAAAAAAGAATTTATAATGTTTATATTTTCTTTAATAACTATAAATAATTTGTAGATAGAGCTTGTAATCCACAATTAGTAGAACCAGATTTAGCTTTAAATTTGGAAATAGCAGATTTGATTAATCAGAAAAAACAAAATTAGTAAGCTTCATCAAAGTTATTAATCAGTCAACCAATTAATCGATTAATCAATTAAGTGGTTGGATAGATAGTTATTAACTCGCAATTAATACTCTTTTTTTTTTTTTTCCTGATCAAAAAATCTTTTCTAAAAGTCCACGAGATGCTGCCATGCATATAGTCAGACTTGTGAATCATCGGCATCCGACTGCAGCCATGTTGGCTTTGATGGTATTTATAATTTATGTAATTATATAAAGTTGTTTATTTATATAACAATCTTTATTTACTATTGTTGTTTTTGTTAGCTTTTGGATATTTGTGTGAAAAATTGTGGGTATCCTTTCCATCTACAAATAGCAACCAAAGAATTTCTGAACCAACTAGTTCGTAAATTTCCTGAAAAATCACCTGTAAGAAAAAAATATTATATATTTATTTATATATATCGCCAATGTTGTATTGAGTTTTAAAACAATTCAGCAAATTATTATCATCATCATCAGCATCCTCATTGGCGATTCTTTCTTTAATAGGCTATTCCTAATCCAATACAATTAAAAATATTGGAATTTATTCAAGAATGGAAAATCACAATTTG